CAGCAGCTGGAGATGCAGCAGGTTGGCCTGCAGCAGCTGGAGCCACAGCTGCTAGAACCACAGCAGGAGGGTCGGCAGCAGCTGGAAATGCAGCAAGTTGGCCTGCAGCAGGTGGTCTGACAGCAGCTGGGTTGGCAGCAGGTGGTTCTGCAGCAGCTGGGCTGACAGCAGGTCTCCTGGGAGAGGCCTTGACCACAGCCCTGGTCAGAACAGACAGAGCCACAACAGGAGTTGACCATGGTGTCAGTGGGTGGAAGATTCTAGATGTTTCTAGGAGAGTGAAGTTCTTGAGTCTGGAAGTCTCCTCACCCCATGTCCTCTTTTATATTCTGCCAAGGGGCTGTTGGCATCAAGTATGATTCTCTTCCTTGTAATTGTTTGTCCTTATAAATAGGTAATTATCAAATCAGGCAAGTTTATTTTCCTGGTTCAATTTTTCAAGATGGATGGAAAACACTGTTTCCTTTCCTGCTGTGTGAGGATTCATCCCATCTCCTCTTCCTCAATCACCTCTTATGTGCCTATCTTGCTTTAGTTTCCTCTAAGAGAGCTGTCACATGTCACATGACATTCTGCCTCTATATGTGTCAATCTCATTTTGCATAGCACATCATTCGGGTGACAATGATTCTTATAGGCCCACAGTTCTTTTTGGGGACCAGGTGCGTCAAACTACATTTTAGTCTGATGTCTCATTCGTTGTGGTCCTGATGGGCAAAGGTCTGAATGTATTACCTGTGAAATGGGATCACAGGCATGTGAATCAGAAGACTATTAGGTCGTACCCACCCCTCCCATATTCTTGATTTTTGATGGGAACTGTTAAGAAGGAAAACTAACTCATAAATTGTGATGCTTCTTTTTCTTCAGAAACAAACCTCCATAATTGAGCTTTAAGAACTCTTTAAAGGGGTGCTGGTTTCATACTGCTTAAATCACTCAGATGCTAACCAAAAAGTGGGCAATATGAACCCACCAGCTGCTCCACAGGATGAAGATCCAGTAGTCTACTTCCATCAAGATTGCCTTGGAGACCCTGTGGGGCAATTATCCTCTGTCCAATAGGGTCACTGTGAGTTGAAATCAACTTGACTACAGTGGGCTTCTTTGGGTTGGTGAAGATGGCTGCAGAGATAGCCAGCAACTGTCCATAAAGTTCACCTTTGATTTTCTGATCTGTGGGGCTGATTTTTCTTCTGACTCTGACTTACACACTTCCAGGTTTTTACAGGGCATATGGACTCAAACACACTTCTTCCACGTTTTCTTGCCAACCCCGGTTAACTTGCCCAGAATCCTTGCCTCTTATTCTAATTCATATCACTGATCATTTGCTGGGCTCTGAAGATGCCCAGCAAACAGTCTTTTGCTCCATTATTCTGGGTGTTGATCAAATTTAACCCTCTAGGCTTTTCTCTTCAAGAAAGGAGAGAGAACACAGATACTTGGATTAAAGGGCAACAACTTTTATTTTTAAAAAAATCATAGTGAAGATGAAGAAAGAAGGTTAAAGGGTATAAAAATGTGCAAACAAATGAGAAATGTCTAAGAAAATGAGGGGTGCTGCCCGTATGTGTGTCTGTTTGTGTGTGTTTCTTGTAGATTGAAGCAGCCAAGGGAAGGAAGAGGACATTTGCCTCCTGGAAAATTCTGTCTTTGAATATTATTCCCAATATGTGTCCTTTTCCACTTTAGGATGGTCTTCACATCTTAGACTAACCTGGCCTGGTCTCTCTAAATTCAATCATGGTCATCTCAACTTTGTTGAAAGACTTTCTATAAATACATTCCTCGAAATATTTGGAGCCATGAAGTTGGGGGCAGTGAATATGCTATGTCAGGATCATGGGTCCAGATGCTTCAGACATCCCTGTAGAAGAGGCTGAATCTAACAGCATGAAATGTCAGAGCCATGCTTAGAGCTGAAAATGTGGTTATTCATGCACCATGGTGCATGACGTTGGGGAGGAGTAAATACATCTAACTTAACTGAGAGAATTTAACTACTCCCAGACCCTAAGGTTGTGTCCATTCACCACACTCCTTCTCCAGGTATAATATCACAAAATGAGCCCTATTACTATTAAGATTGGTTAGAAAAAGAGATTGAGGACTGCTGGTCTAGAAGCAACCACTGCACATCTATAAGAAAGATTGAAGTAGTTGTAATGAAAAAGTTAGGCGTTTTACATGGCAGTATCCTCAGTAAAAGTCCACACTTATTGACCATTTACTGCCAACAAACCCTGAATGCAAATATGGATGCATTAACGGATGTATGATATTTACAAAGGAGGAGAAGGCAGGCCTAATCCTCCCTTAGCACTCAGAAACATCTGAGAAATTCATTTCATTCCAGGCTACTAAAGAAGAACTGAGATAAATTAAAAGTAAAGTTGATGTGATGATGATATCCTAATTAAGGAGCAGCAGGTGAAAAAACATTTTTGTACAAATATATGCACAAATCCTAAGTGTTCTATTTGGTGAGTTTGATAAATGGATGTTGTTGTTGTTGTTGTTGTTATGTGCCATCGAGTCAGAACCGACTCATAGCGACCCCTCCTTGGGTTTCCGTGGCAGTATCACTACGGAAGTAGATTGCCCCATAAATGCATGTAATTGCCACACCTGTCAAGATAAAGAATGTTCCCATTTTGCCAGAAAGTTACCTCATGTCACTTAGGTAAACTCCCTACTACCATAGAGGCAAGAACTGTTCTAATATTTTCTTCAAAATATTGTGTTTGGTCTAGAACTTCAAACAAATGGGATCGTACATATAGTTTCTTTTCTGTGTAGTGTCCTTAGCATGGTGTGTGCCTGAGAATCACCAGTGCTGATGCTTGTATCACTAGTCCATTTAGAATTGTACAAAGGAATTATCAAGGCTTGCTTTAATTATTACCAACAAATATCATGTTAGAATGACCAACCATTCCTGTTTGGCTGGGACTGGGGTGGGAGACTTCCCAGGGCATGGGACTGTCAGTGCTAAAATTAGGAAAGCCCCAGTAGACAGAGGTGAGTTGGTCACCCTACAATGACATTTTTAAATGTCTTTTTGTTGATAGGTGCCATCAAGTCACTTCTGACTTACTCATACTGATCCTTGTCCAACAGAACGAAAATGTCTTAATTAGGTCCATTTAAAGACTAGACTCTTTGCAGTACTTGTATCCGTTAATGTGCTTATGTTTTTATTTTATACACTATGTTTGCAGAGCTAACCTTCATCTTATAGACATGTTGACAAACAAGTTAGAGTGAGTTTAATGAGAGAATAGATGCATCCAAACAGTGCCAAGAGTAGACCATATGATACCCCATGCAGATCCCTTTTGTCAGGAATGTGCCACCTCCCCAAGCAAGTGTGAGTGTGGATTGCTAGGAGTTCACATTGTTCCTCTACACTGTTCTCCAATTAATTGTCCTCAGCTACAGGAGCCCACTCACCTCAAGGGTTTTTCCTCTTCCTCTTTGGGGATGGTCCATAGTTAATGATAATGTGGGAGTGCAAAGGCCCAGTCACATTGCCTCCAGAAGGGACCATTCAGATGCTAGAACTGCTTATGGGCTGAGCTGAGGATAGAATTCAACTCAAGCCACATCTTGGCTTAACTTCTACTATGGTGATTCCCTCCACTTCTTACAAGTTTCTCCTGAGAACATTCTCTTAATAAATCATCTCACTCTCTGAATAAATCATTGCATGAGAATCCTTGTCTCAGGCTCTGCTTATGGAATCCAACTTAAGACACCCAGCTTAGGAAAATACCCCTTTAAATACAGCCTTCTTTAGGATGAGAGAGAAATACATGATGGGCCATATTACTCATGGAAGTGTACTCTATCCCTCATACAAAATGATATGGAAGAAATATATTGAGGACCGCTAGTCTGAAATCAAGGAGCTCTGTAGTGTAGTGGTTAAGGCATTTGGCTGCTAACCATAAGGTTGGTAGTTCGAACTCACCAGTTGCTCCATGGAAGAGAGATGAGTCAGTGTGCTTCTGTAAACATTTAAAGCCTTGGAAACCCAATGGAGGTCGCTATGAGTTAGAGTTGAGTCGATGACAGTGATTTTTTTGTTTGTTTTTATAGTCTAAAATCAACAGGTGTGCAAGAAAATGAATAAATAGCAAAATGTTTTAAAAGACTTAGTATTTCAGTGGGCAATAAACTCATTAAGAGCTGATTGTGACACCATGGTGACCATTCATATTGTAGGAACAATATTTTGAAGGACACACAGAAACTTGCAATGTTGGTTTCTTAGACTGGGTTCCTGCATGAACAGATCAAGAACTAGGGTTTTGAGAACAAGTTTACTTGGGAGATGATCCCAAGAAACTCTATAGGAAACTTGGGAAGTGAACCGCAGAAGGGAGGTGAGGAAAGAAGCTAATACAGAGTGAATTAAAGAACAGATTGGAATCTGTAAGTGGTATAAATGACTAATGCACTCAGCTACTAGCTAGGAAATTCTGGTGGCATTGTGCTCCATGGGAGGAAGATGAGACAATCTACTCCAGTAATATTTACAGCCTTGGAAATCCAATGAGCATCACTATGAGCTGAAATCAGCTCAATGGCAATGGGTTTTCCTAGCTGAAAGGTTGGGGATTTGAGCCTAAGACATTTGACTGCTAACCAGAAGGCTGGTGGTTCAAACCCACTAGTCACTCCTTGGGAAGATGACTGGGCAATGTACTTGCTTAGAGATTAGAGATACCACCTCTGAAACCGAAGGTGGGGTCACCATGACAGTGAGTTTTTTTTTTTTTTTTTTTT